AAAAAAGGAATTTGAGCTGCTGCTTGTATTTCAGAGTGGACGTGAGGAGCCTGTGACCCCCCCCCAGGTGTTTGCGCACCACACTCCCATCATCCCTCACCATTGGTCATGTTGGCCGGGGCTGATGGGAGTTGTATTCCAAAAATGGCCTGAAGTCACAAGTTCCCCATCCCTGTATTAGAGGCCTGCCTCGTGCCTTTTAGCTGTGATTTCAGGATTCCCTAACACAGCTCATTGGGTCACCCTGGTAATGGTGTGGAGAGGGAGCTCATGAAGCCTAAGGTTGTAACCAGGCCACCCAAACTTGTGGGTCTTGGAATGGTGTGTGTCACCAAGGGATGCCAATATTTGTTTATTTAAAACCGTGTACAGTGGTACCTCGGGTTACACATGCTTCAGGTTACATACACTTCAGGTTACAGACTCCACTAACCCAGAAATATTACCTCGGGTTAAGAACTTTGCTTCATGATGAGAGCAGATATCGTGCCGTGGCAGCAGGAGGCTCCATTAGCTAAAGTGGTACCTCAGGTTAAGAACAGTTTCAGGTTAAGAACGGACCTCCGGAATAAATTAAGTACGTAACCAGAGGTACCACTGTACTGCAGTCACACAATCAATCAATCAGTAGCTGAACTGGGTCCACACAATCACAAAAACAAAGAGCCGCAAAAAAACAACAACAAAAAAACCCCCCAGACCTCAAAATAAATAGCAAAAAGAGACAGACCTCGGCCTAAAACTCAAAACAGAAGTGTGGCACTCAAAACGGAAGTGTGGCAATCAAATCAGAAGTGTAACACTCCAAACGGAGCATGTTCGACGTCTGAAAAAGGTTCGCAAGCAGAACATTACTTCTGGGTTTGCAGTGTTTGAGTTCCAAGTTGTTTGAGTCCCAAGGCGTTTGAGAACCAAGGTACCACTGTATAAGGACAACCTGTGCGCCAGACTGTCACCTAACAGCAGCTATTCTAGCAAGCTGCAGAGCAAAGGGGGAGAAGGGAAGCAGGACTCTTCCATCAGTTTTGCTGAAATACCAGCTTCCCAGACTAAGCTGCCTGAGCATTTTCCATTCTAGCTGGTCAATATAAAAAACTGAAGCTTCAGAAACAGGTCCCTCCACACTCTGCCTGCTGCTCAATCGCCATCTTTCTCTTTTCAAAATTTTGTGCTGTGTCTAAAAGATTGTAAGCCTGAGAGCAGGGACTCTCTTGGTTTTCTTTATTGTTCTGTAAGCCTCCCTGACAAACTCTTTGACACTAAAAAGCAAGGTAAAAATACTTAAACAGACAGTGTAGAAAATGGTTGAATTTCATTCTGTTTGAATTTATTGATCCCTTTCATAAACTGGTGTCTTGCCGCCCCCCACCAAAATAAATGTCTTGTGCTTCGATAATAGGTGGACATTTATTGTAAAGTGTTTTCAGCACAGCTCAGTATGGAAAAGAGGCATACAAATTAGCTAAATCAGTCAATAAAAGCATCTTGCTGTTAGCTGAAAAATGTGCGCCATCATTCCTGCAATGGAGACGTTTGGATGCAGGATACAGTGGTGCCTCGGGTTACATACGCTTCAGGTTACATACACTTTAGGTTACAGACTCCGCTAACCCAGAAATAGTACCTCAGGTTAAGAACTTTGCTTCAGGATGAGAACAGAAATCATGCTCCGGCGGCACGGCAGCAGCAGGAGGCCCCATTAGCTAAAGTGGTGCTTCAGGTTAAGAACAGTTTCAGGTTAAGAACGGACCTCCGGAACGAATTAAGTACTTAACCCGAGGTACCACTGTATATGGCTAGCTACAGAAAGCCCTATGCTTAGCATCCAGCACTTTGTTGGACGAGTGAAAAGTCAGCAGAAACCAACAAGAAGTGCCTTCTCTGTCAAGAAGTATTGAAGAAATATTTTACTTTTGCTTTTCTGTTTTCCTTTCAAAAAAAGTTGACATCTTACTAAAGATGCGATTACTTAAAATATTTTGGGAGTATCAGACCTGCTGGATTTGATTACAGTGGTACTTCGGGTTACAGACGCTTCAGGTTACAGACGTTTCAGGTTACAGACTCCGCTAACCCAGAAATATTACCTCGGGTTAAGAACTTTGCTTCAGGATGAGAACAGAAATCGTGCTCCTCCGGCGGCAGCGGGAGACCGCATTAGCTAAAGTGGTGCTTCAGGTTAAGAACAGTTTCAGGTTAAGAACGGACCTCTGGAACAAATTAAGTTCGTAACCAGAGGCACCACTGTACTGTAACATTTGAGCTCTGGAAATTTATTTTATCATGTTTGAAGAAGTGTTATATTATTTGTTGATTTGCTATTTGAGGAATTTCTGTTTTTCCTCCTTAACTGGTCAAAATTCAACCTAAGCCCCGAGTTTCCTTTTTTTCCTCATGCCTGTGCCAAATAGGGCAGTCATCAATCCCTGTCAGACAGGAGCAAATACCTTTTTTGGCTTGTTTCAACAGGATATAAAAATAGGCCAACCGTCGGGGGAAGAAGAGGGACCAAAGAATAACGCAGCCGCTGCAAATCCAAATAAGTTGCGGTGTTGGTGCTGGGAAGTGAAGCAGGCACCTTGACAGATGCCTAAGCCTTTAGCTTTTAAAAGTTCCCAAATGGGGCAGGTCCAGAGTGGGAAAGGGCAGAGGATGATGATGGTGATGATTTATTTGATGAGCCACTTCCTATCAAGCATCTCGTAGCAATTTCACAATACAATAAAGAAATAAAGCCAGTTAGCCAGCGTGGTGTAGTGGTTAAGAGCAGTAGTCTCGTAATCTGGGGAACCGGGTTCGCTTCCCCGCTC